CCCTCCATCGTTCCCAGCATGAGGCTCTTCTCCAGTGAGTCCTTCCTTCTCATTAGGTGGCCAAAGTATTTGAGTCTGGCCTTCTAAAGAGCAGTCAGGGTTGATCTCCTCTAGGACTGACCGGTTTGATTGTCGTGCAGTCCAAGGGACTCACAGGCATTAGGAGTTCTACCATCTGGAACCCTTAGTAATTTTACTAGCAAAGCTGGTTTGGAATAGGCAATCATCTGTCACTCCCAATCATTAATTGTTCTATTGATTAGACCTAAAGGCAGGGAGCTTAAGGAGCTATTAGAAGACTTGTGATGGAACCACCATTGAAAGGGAGGGAGTTCCATTTCTGAAAAAGTAGATTGGTCCTTTTTCGGTCCTGGAAGTCTTTTAAATTGGGTTGAATCTTGCATAAAGTGTGTATCGTAAATACATCAGCAAGACAGGGAAGGAATTTACAATCTCTACTAGGAACAATTTTCAGTTCTATTAAACCAAATTTTATGGTTCTTTAGCCAATCAGAAATGCTTCCTGACTTCCAAATGTTATTGCAAAGATGGATCAAAAGTCATGTTGCCTTCCTATCCAGTCGTTGATGATATCATTGATTATTTTGAAGTTTAAAAAACAGTGCAGAACTTGGCTAAGTAGTCATTCTCAATCGGTCAAATTATTGGCATAAGAATACAGTAATCATATTATTTATGCTAAGCCTCAAAAGCCAAGCGCATCCCTCTACCAAAACTTTTTTGTGCCCTGATTAAAATATTGCACTAACCAGCTGGAATCTTAGGGAACATAGTATAACTTTCTAGAACAGCTAAACCCTGGTTTGGATTCTGAACATCGCTTTTCTCATAAAATGTTCACTAAGAAGCAGAGTCTACCTTGGTCAAAAGCCATTCTGCTTTGCTTCTCCATTGTAGTTAGGATCGGACTCGGCCAATCATTTTAGGTCATATGCGCACAAAGACTTCTTTAACAAGATTTATTGAAATGAAAGGGACAAAGCTGCAAGAATGCCAGCAACCATCCTATTCTCAATTTAGAATGAGTTTATTCCCCATGCATTAGGGCAGGGATGTCAAACTGGATTTCATTGCGGGCCGCATCAGGGTTGTGTTTGACCTCGGAGGGCCAGGGTGTGGCCATGGTGGGTGTGACACAGGACTCATGTCGGGGTACCTGTGTTGGTCAAGTGCTAAGGCAGGACTTCCCTGAGACCCTCCCTCCCTTTCATTATAATCTTCCTTCCTTCCTTCCTACTTTCCTTCCTTCTTTCCTTCCTTCTTTCTTTCCCTCTTCATTCTTTCTTCTTCCTTCCCCTCTTTCCCTCTTTTTGCTTCCTTGCTCTCTTCCCCTTTTTCCTTATTTTTCTTTGCCTTTCCTCTTTCCCTTTCTCCTTTCCTGTCCCTTATTGCATGCTCAAATGCAAAAGGGGAAATTTCTCCTTTCCTTTTGTTTTTAGTTTGTTTTGCACACGCAGCCCTTCCCAGCTCCATTTTCTGTGGCAGAGGCATCTCGGGCTGGTCCTTTGCTGTCTCCAGACCGGCCCTGTGGGCCAGATCTAAGCACCCCATGGGCTGGATCCAGCCCACAGGCCTTGAGTTTGACATCCCTGCATTAGGGCATTTTCTGTGTTTCTATCTAAGATGCTTCTTTCCAACAGACAAGGAAGCCGATTTTTCCTCTGATAATGGAGCAGCTGTTTACAAAATCATCTCCTGGACATTTTATCAGTTGTCAGTCAACCACTACAATTGCTGGGATACCTTATTAATGTTTAAAAAAACCTGCCAGTTGGAGGGAAGGTTTTGACAATATTCCATATTGTGAGTGCTGTCATACATGTCCAGAATGGGCTACTGAATTAGTGGTTCACATTTTTACACTGCTGCTTCTTTATGATTCTTGGTATGCAGCTTTCATATATCCATTTCTTCCTGGCTGTGTTGTTTGGCCAGAACCTATAAATTGTTCGCCTTATACTTTCAGACCTTTTATTGAAGATTTCCAGGAAAATTGCCAAGTTCTGCTCCACCGTTAGGGCTAAGTATTACAAGGTTTGAGGCTTAGCTTTAACTTTAGAGGGTTGTCTGGACAAACTCAACTGTGCTGGACCATTTGCTTCAATTTCCCTTGTTTTATTACGTCTCGTATGTTGCTTTACATTACTTGCATTTGTTTTACTTCGGATCATTTCACCTTTTTTTGGTCACATCACTAAAGACTCTTCCTCAATAAAAGAAGGAAAGGATGGCCTGCTCCAGAGTAGACAGGAAACCTGAATTTGAATTTTTGAATCCTGGCCTTTAAATCAGGAATTCTCCTAAGCAAGAGGTGTCAAACTGGTGGCCTGTGGGCGGATGAGTCACACGCAGGCCACGCCCACCCCAGCTCCGTGAAGGGGGGAAACTTCACAAAGCATCATGTGGTGGCAACATGACGTGATGAGTTTGATACTGAAAAAATAAGAAGACTCTGCAATGAGCTGGTCATTAGTCCCCCAGGCTGAGCAAAACAAAACTAAAATTCAGCCATTCCAGTGGTTACTGAAGTGTGAAATGTGGTGTCAGCTCTGGCAGGTAAGCAGTGGAAGCTGCCAGGAATTGTGCTCACCAGCTGGGGATCTGGTGCCAAGAGCCAAGGTGGCGCAGTGGTTAAATGCAGCACTGCAGGCTGACTGCTAGATCAGCAGTTCAGCGGTTCAAATCTCACCGGCTCAGGGTTGACTCAGCCTTCCATCCTTCCGAGGTGGGTAAAATGAGGACCCGGATTGTTGTTGGGGGCAATATGCTGACTCTGTAAACCGCTTAGAGAGGCCTGAAAGGCCTATGAAGCGGTATATAAGTCTACTGTTATTGCTATTGCTATTATCTGCCTCCTCCACATGCAATCCAGCTGAGAACTCTCCATAACTGATAACTGACTGAGAACAAGCCATAACTGATTGCCAGGTGGTTTTCACTCTGGGTGACGAGGTGTTGGGTGTGTGAGCATTTAGCCTAAATATCAAATAAAGTATAAAGGGTGGTGGGGAGCACCAGCTGTCAGCTCTGACCATTTATTCATTGCCTTAGTGCTTTGTTGGCCAGTTCGTGCTGGAGGAAGATAAGTGGCATTTTCAAACCGTCTCTGTGTTTGGTTGTTTTCCTTAACCCTTCGGAACCTGACAGATGATTTAAGACATACTATTGTTCCCAATTCGGGCCTGAGCCTAGTGCCGAAGGCAATGATGGACGGTAGACACGAGGTGCAGGTTTTCTGATTGCTTTTTATTGGAGTACTCCAAGGAAGAAGGTTTCTGGTCAAAAGGCCAAGAACCCAGAACAAAAGATTAAGGAAGCTTTATACATTGAGAGCCGAGGTGGCGCAGTGGTTAGAGTGCAGTACTGCAGGCCACTTCAGCTGACTGCTAGCTGCAGTTCGGCGGTTCAAATCTCACCGGCTCAAGGTTGACTCAGCCTTCCATCCTTCCGAGGTGGGTGAAATGAGGACCCAGACTGTGGGGGCAATATGCTGACTCTAAACTGCTTAGAGAGGGCTGAAAGCCCTATGAAGCGGTATATAAGTCTAACTGCTATTGCTATTGCTATTTCACTAAAGGAGAAGACGGAACAAGGTGAAATAATAAGAAATATCCTCTAATAAACATTTTAGCAATAATTCTACAATTTGTTCTATTGGTCTATAGCTGTCCCATTCCTAAGCCTAATGAATGCTCCAGGAGTTATCTAATAGACATTTCATTTGCTGTAGACCATCTCTTGGCTGAGGTCTGCAAGTTGTCTAATCCTTGTTATTTTTGTCAACTTTCTAACTACCCATAATTGCTATAGGCTTTACACATGCATATTTCCTGTTGATCAGCATTCTTTGTTCTTGCCTGACAGACACCCCAACCCCACCCCGCAATTCCAGTCTTCCTGATTTACTTTCAAGTGTGTGCCATGACCTTGCTTTAGCAGCCAGCCCATCAATACTGCAAAGCATCGATACTTAATCACCTTCCTTTCTTTGGTATTTCTCACTAGGAGACCTGGTATTGGTATGGAAGCAGTGATGCAGACAACGTGGTCATGAGTGGGATGAAATGCTCCGGGGTGGAAATGTCTTTGTTACACTGCCCTCATGATGCCAAAGTCTCCTGCCCCAAGGGAGGCGGACGCCATTCAGCTGGTGTTTCCTGCACAGAAAGTAAGCACTTTGGCTTCCTTAGCTCACATCTAGAGCCCAGTTTATCTCAACCGCAGTCAAGCGTGTTCACGTTTTCAGCAATTTGTTGGGTTTAACGAGGGTGAATGCTACATAACCTTGGTTATTGTGACGTAGTGAGCATAACAAATCTGTTTTGAAACCAATCAATTATGTTCAAGTAAAGAATCTTCAGTTAATTGGTCAATAATGAACGATTAATCCATGGAATAGCTTTTCTCCTGGAGTTGTGGGTTCTCCATCACTGGAACTTTTCAAAAATAGACTGGATTTGACGGGGATGGTATGAGTTCTCTTGCCTTGAGCAGGGGGCTGGATTAGAAGGCCTCTGAGGTCTTTTCTAGCCCTGTAATTCCATGTTCTATGTTCAGTATTTCAGGGAGAAATCTGCTCCTAAACTCAAAAATACTTCACGTTTCTAGTCCCTGGCTGTCCTGTGTCCATGTGGTTTACTTAATGGAAAAGATCTACCATTGCCTACTTTACAGTTTCAATTTTCCAGATGGGATCATAGCTTTCCCATTCTAGTTCTAACAAGATCTAACCTCTCAAGCTTTCTCTGCTCAGCCAAAGTGAGCCAAGTGCTGCTATTTGTCCCAGCAAATGTATTCTACTGCGATCTGAATTAACGTAAAGACTTCCTTAAGCTGAGCTTCTCTCCTGATGTCACAAGGACACAAAATCAATAGCACTTAGACTTATACCCTATTTTCCTGAAAATAAGACCTCCCTGGATAATAAGCCCAATCGGGCTTTTGAGTGCATGCGCTAAAATAAGCCCTCCCCCCAAAATATTTCAACACAGCAGCAGCCATGAGGTGACCATGTTCGCCGCCTCCTGCACCTCAAACATAATAAGACCTCCCTGAAATTAAGGCTAATTGCTTATTTCGGGGGTCAAAAGAAAATAAGACCCTGTCTTACTTTCGGGGAAACATGGTATATTGCTTCAAAGTGCTTTACAGCCCGCTCTAAGCCATTTACAGAGTCAGCCTCTTGCCCTTAACAATCTGGGTCCTCATTTTACCCACCTTGGAAGGATGGAAGGCTGAGTCAACCTTGAGCCTGGTGGGATTTGAACTGCCATATTGCAGGCAGCCATCAGCAGACGTAGCCTACAGTAATGGACTCTAACCACTGCGTCACAGTGGCTAAATTCAGATAGATTTCTTGACAATAGTATAAAAACACTTTGCTGGTGTCTTTCTCCGATAATAATGTGTGCATATCAGAGGTGGTATTCAGCAGGTTCTGACCAGTTCTGAAGAACCGGTAGCAGAAATTTTAAATAGTTCGGAGAACCAGTAAATATAACCTCTAACTGGCCCCACCCCCATCTATTCTCTGCCTCCCAAGTCCCAGCTGATCGGGAGGGAATGGAGATTTTACAGTATCCTTCTCCTGCCACGCCCACCAAGCCATGCCTACCAAGCCACGCCAATCGAACTGGTAGTAAAAAAAAATTGAATCCCACTAGTGGTCCATATCACATCTCTCTGCCATAGCATTAGGCATCAACTTCCATAAATAGAAGCAACTCTGATAGGAGTCTTAACCCTATCTTAGGATGCACACCAGTCTTGAAATGTTTTCTTGGGAAACCTTCCATATTTCAAGGCAGCCTATAAATCCTCCAGCGGAAATAATAAAAGCAAAGTCCTTATTCTCTATTCATGTCTGCAGCTGCGGCTGATCTCGTCCTCAACGCCAAGGAAGTAGAACAAACGTCCTATCTGGAGGATCGGCCCATGCATGTGCTACAGTGCGCCATGGAGGAGAATTGCCTGGCCTCCTCTGCGGTCAATACCTCGGTGACCACAGGTTACAGGAGACTCTTCCGCTTCTCCTCCCAGATCCATAATAACGGGCAGGCTGACTTCCGTCCCAAAACGGGCCGCCACGCTTGGATCTGGCACGAATGCCACAGGCAAGTCTTGCTTTCTATCTTCGCTTTTGTAGAATGGGAAGGAGGAAAAAAGGGAAAGCCACTGAAGGTTGACACCACTCATGCAGGATCACCAACACAGACCTGCAAGAAAAAAAAAAGAGTTCTTAGGTTGAATTAAAATACCGTTGGCCATTGGTTCAAAGTCATGCTCAACAAGCCCACGAGTGCATTCTACTGCAATCTGAATGCTTTCCCCCACATGCAAGTAGAATAAACAGATCAATGTCTCACCTCCCCATACTGAATTCCAGGTGTTCAATGTCCTCGGTGGTTTGTTTTCTCAGGTGCAAATCAGCTAACTAACCCTGCCTTGCAGTTCCTTAGTTTCCCACAACTTATACCAGGATGAGCTTGTTTTCTGATTTTACACTTGTTTTTTGCACACGCAAGTGTGCCGTTCACATTCTCTGGGCATTCATTGTGGCTGTTGCACAAATTCAAAATTAAAACCTCATCCAAGATGCCAGAATCTCTTTCAATATTTGACAGAAAAGCTGATTACAATGTACCTGATGCTTATGAACCCACCCATGCAAGCATAAATTCCATGTCGATCAAAAAGGATCAAATATTCATACAATATGGGACATGGTGGCTCAGGGGCTAAGATGCTGAACCTGTCGATCAGAAAGGTTCGAATCTCTAGCACCGTGTAACGGATTGAGCTCCTGTTACTTGTCCCAGCTTCTGCCAACCTGACAGTTTGAAAGCATGTAAAAAGGCAAGTAGAAAAATAGGAACCGCCTTTGTTGGGAAGGTAAGAGCGTTCCGTGCACCTTTGGTATTTAGTCATGCTGGCCACATGACCACGGAGACGTCTTTGGACAGAGCTGGCTCTTCCGCTTTGAAATAGAGATGAGCACCACCCACTAGAGCCGGGAACAACTAGCACATATGTGCAAGGGGAACCTTTACCTTTTTATGCCCCAAAGGTGCTTTTTCAAAAGGCAACTGGACTTTCTTTTTCCTTGAAGACGTTTCGCTTCTCATCCAAGAATCTTTGTCAGTTCTGACTGAGTGGTGGAGGATGGAAGGATTTATATTCCTTGCAGTCATCTGGTCATTAGCATTCTTTCTGAGAGTTGTTGAGGCCACTTGTGGGTTTATCTGTACCCTCAGGATCAAAGAAAAAACAAAGAAAGTCCGGTGGCCTTTTGAGAAAACACCTTTGGGACAATTATATCCTGAATGACTAGGAATACCTATTGATAGTCACACAATAGTTTTGTTTTGGGCAAGGAACCATAGCTCAGTTCTAGAGTCCCACATTTAGCTGAAGTCCTATTTCAAACATTCAAGTATCAGATGAGGGGGAAAACAAACAAAAATATACAAAACAGGTTGCAATGAACATCACTGCAAAGAGATGGGGGTCCCTTTGTAACCATCTGCTAAAATCTATGTTGATGAAAAGAAGGCCAGGCAGGATAAATAGGAGCAGATGGCTCTTCAAATCATCAACCCTCAAACTATATAAACTTTCAAAGCTTAACTAAATCTTTGAATTAGGCCTCCCACCGAGTACTGTACTTGCAGCTGGATTATCTCCCTGGAAGTGAGTTCATTGTTTAGTTTGATCTAGGGTGTTGTGGAGCACTGCTGGGTTAAGTTTATTCCCAAATTATGAATTGAGCTTCAAGAAAAATACATTTCTAAGCAAGACAATTGCAACTTTAGCAGGCACTTTTTCTACTTTTGTGGAAACTGAGACTAGATTTATTGGCTTTTATCAATTCCATCGAGCATTCATTTAAAAGACCTATCATCATCTTTTAACAACTGCCTAATTCCTTGCAAGGTGGAGTCTGGGCAATTGAATGGAGCTAGCAGTGTGTTTAATGGCTGGATGCTTTTCCTGTCACCAATACGGAGTTTTGTTCAGCAGATATATTCTCATTGTACCCAGGATCAAACCCACAGCTTTCTGATTGTGAGGCAAGAGCTCCATCTCTAGGTCACCAAACCACTCCTTTAATTTAAAAGACCTATGTCCCCTGCTTTTAAAGAGCTGTATATTGGTTTTTTGGGGTGATCTCTAATAATAAAATTTATCTCACCCATTCAACACACTTTCTCTCCTGCTTTCCTTCCATTCTGGAGCTGTCCCAACTTCAACAGCTTCAATGGCTGCTTCTCTGTCACCAGAAAAAAGAGCTTCTCCTGGATCAATCAAGGAATTTGCGATGTCCCTGAGATCAGCAGGATGTGCCCTTCTCTATCACCGTCTCTATGGGACGGTTTAGGTCCAAAAGGACTGTCCAGCAGCAGAGATATCGATGGCGATCTTGGAGCTCCAAGATAGCACGTCATATCATCACGACATCAGCCCTCCCTCATCCAAGAGCTGTATCTTCTATATATTAAGGTTCTTGACCCATTCTCTATATCAGGGGTGTTAAACTGGCAGCCTGCTGCCCAGCTGCGTCACATGCAGGCCCACCCCAGCTCCGTGAATGGGAAAAACATTGAGAAACATCATGTGATGGCAACATGACATGGCGAGTTTGACACCCGTGCTCTGTATCATCTTGCCCATTAGGCCAAAGTCTCAGAATCTCATGAGGCAGCATTTCTCAATGTAGCAACTTCAATATATGTGGATTTCAACTCCTAGAGATCCCCAACCAGCATTTTGGGAATTGAGGTCCATACATATTAAAGTTGCCACAGTTAAGAAACACTGTTCTAAGGCATAATTCTCTCAGTTTTTGAAGACAGCTAGAGGTTGACAGGAATGGACTTGAGACTATAAAATCACATGAATTCAATTATATTATTGCTTGGGACAAAATAAAAGGATTCCCCCAAAACTGTGTTCCATATGGTATTTATTTCCTTCTTCTAGACTAACATCACCAAGCTGGAATTCATCCAGTAAATAATCACATTTGGGAGGTGTTTTCACCTGAATGAAAAGCATTTATGGTTAACCCAGGAGTCAGCAAGCTGTGGCTCTGGAGCCACATGTGGCTCTTTCATCCCTCTGCTGCTGCTCCCTGTCACCGGTCAGCTCCACAATTGATAGGGCTTTTGGTTAGGACAGATAGAGGAAAAAGGATGTGGAGGAGACTCTATGATGGCTTCAGAATTGAATGGTTAGCTTCAGAATTGAACGGGGGGCTTCCAGTTAGGAACTTTGTGGCTCTTTGAATGTTTAAGTTGACGACCCCTGGGTTAACCAGTAGTAAATTTGGATGAGCAGTGGCTAAGGCTTCCAGATAGGCTAATATAGTATTTTAGCCGAAAAATAAATTCCCTGTATACATAGATGGTAGGGGAGATACCACAGTCATGATAAATTGTCATTCTGCTGTGTCTCAAACCAACAACAATCAGATATGCTTTGATTCTATAAAGATAGTGTCTAGATTCACCAGCCTTAACCACGACTTCCTAACTAAACCCCAGAGAGCTGAGTTTATCGATAGAAAACAATAGTTGTAATTCAGGGCTTTTGGGGGGGGGGGGTTGGTGCTCTCTGAGCTTGGTGGTTTTCTTGCAGATGTTTCATTATCCAACCAGTTAACATAATCAGTGCTGAGTTTACACATCAAAGCTTTGTTGACAACCTTCAGCAAATTGCTTTCTTTCTGGCTTCTACAGGCATTACCACAGCATGGAAGTCTTTGCCCACTACGATCTGTTGGATAGCAACTGGACACAAGTTGCCGAAGGCCACAAAGCCAGCTTTTGCCTGGAGGACACTGACTGCCTAGACGGTACATGTGTTTCCAACCTTATTTCAGTGCATTGATAATTATGGCAGTGATTAGCACTCCTTAATCCCCAGATGCAGAGGTGGGATTCAGCAGGTTCTGACCAGTTCTGGAGAACCAGTAGCAGAAATTTTGAGTAGTTCGGAGAACCGATAAATACCACCTCTGGCTGGCCCCGCCCCCACGTAGTCCCAGCTGATCGGGAGGGAATGGGGATTTTGCAGTATCCTTCCCCTGCCATGCCCACCAAGCCATGCCCACTAAGCCACCGGACACCCACCAAGTCACGCCCACAGAACTGATAGTAAAAAAAATTGAAGCCCTCCACTGCGCAGCTGTTTTCCATCATAACATCAGCATAGAAAATATTGTATGTTAAAGGCTGAGTCTCCATGACCATTCTGAACCACAGTGGTGCAGTAGTTAGAGTGCAGTCCTGCACACTACTTCTGCTGACTGCAATTTGGCAGTCCAAATATCACCAGGCTCAAGGTTGACTCAGCCTTCCATCCTTCCAAGGTGGGTAAAATGAGGAGCCAGATTGTTGGGGGCAATAGGCTGACTGTGTAACCGTTTAGAGCAGGCTGTAAAAAGCACTGTGAAGCGGTATATAATTTTGAGTACTATAGCTATTGCTATTAAAATCAAATGGAGAACCAACTTTCCACCGTACTTTGTTTAACCTATCCATAAATCTGGTTGAAGAATGCTCTTGAGGGTCCAGGACATTCCTGGGAATAAATCTTTAAAGATGATACATTCATCTTCAGACTGAAGAAAATACTACTTCTAGCCACTCATTCCTATGGACTCATGCGCATGCACTATTCAATGTAAATTGTTCTTTGTGCATGCACAGAACAATTTACAGTGAACTGCGCACGCACAACCCAGGGGTGGGTTCCGGCTTCTGTTACTGCTGGTTCACTTGGGGACACGCTTCAGGCATGCGCAGTAGTAAAAAAAATTGGAAACAAGATGGAGGAACATACAGCATCGCCGAGAGAACCGGTTCGGGGACGTGGCTGACCAAGTTACTACCTACTCTGCTGAGCCGGCCCAAACCGATAGGAACCGACCTCTGGCGCAGTCACTAAAAACCAAAATGGCGGCCATCAGAGAACTGGTGAGGAAACTGGTTCGGGGGAGTGGCAGGCCTGGGTCTCTGCCAGTTCTGCGACCCAGGCCTGAATGCCGCTACCACTTCGACTGAATTGGGCCAAAGTGGGAGCAACCCACCTCTGCTGTGGATATAGGAAAGTGCTTTATGTTAAATCAGGATGGTGGGCTAATCTGATTTAGTATATCTCCATTGAAGTGAGGAAAATCTAAGGCCGTGATGGCGAACCTATGGCACAGGTGGCATGCGGAGTCATTTCCTAGGGAACGTGAAGCATTGCCCTGTCAGCCTTGATTTTTGGCCGTTTCCTGCAAATTCAGGAACGAACTTCCAGTTTGCGCTTTGGGCTGTTTTTTGCCCTCCGAAGGGAGAAAAACGGCCCAATGGGCAACCCAGTCTGTTCCCGAACTTCTGGTTTGTGTGTTGGGCTGTTTTTCGCCCTCCCCAGGCTCCTAGAAAGCCTCTGTACTCTGGGGAAGGCAAAAAACGAACCTACTGGGCCCACCGGAAGTCAGAAAGCAGGCCGTTTCCAGCCTCCGGAAGGCCTCCGGGGGGAGAGAGAAGGCTGTTTTTACCTTCCCCAGGATCCAAGAAAGCCATGCGTGCATGTTCAGGGCAGCAGGGGCCGTTACACTCATGCATGCACAGGGGGCATGGCACAGGGGGCATTAAATTATGGGGGTGGGCACGTTAGCGTGTGTGATAGCTCGCACATGAGTGCTTTTGGCTTCCGAGGTGAAAAAGGTTCGCCATCACAACATCTCCCCCCAAGTCAACTGCCATTGTGTAACCCCTTCTTGGTGATACCATTAAACAGGATATTTAATTGCATGCTATGTCTAGGTAGATTCTCAATTATCTGGGTTATGATTGTTCCAAAGGTGCTTTCCCCCCCTCCCAAAAAAAGCAACTGGATTTTCTTGGGAGGGGTGTTCATTTGAAAATGTTCTCTTCTCATCCAAAAAGCTTCTTCAGCTCATTCTTCAAAAGCCAAAAGTCCTGTTGCCTTTTTGAAGAAGCACCTTTGGGCTACTTACATGATATGCTTCATCCTTCAGGAAATAAAAAGAAGACATGACAGGCAACTTTTAGGGGTTTTATCAGGGAACTGGAGACTAAAACATACGATGAACGGTTGCAGGAACTGGGCATGTTTGGTCTATTGATGAGAAGGACCAGGGGAGACATGATAGCAGTCTTCCAATATTTGAGGGGCTGCCACAGAGAAGAGTGGGTCAAGCTATTTTCAAAGCACCTGAAGGCCAGACAAGGAACAATGGATGGAAACTGATCCAGGAGAGATTCAACCTGGATATAAGGAGGAGTTTTCTGACAGTGAGAGCAATCAACCCATGGAACAGAAGTTGCCTTCAGAAGTTGTGGGAGCTTCATCCCTGGGAGCTTTCAAGGAAAGACTGGACTGCCATCTGTCAGAAATGGTGTAGGGACTCTTGCTTGGACAGAGGGTTGGACTAGATGACCTACAAGGTCCCTCCCAACTCTGTTAACCTGAAACGTCCCATAATTTTAAAAATGGGGACCATTGATCCTTGCACAGAAGTGGGTTTCCAGCTGCAAAGCCCATGTTCCTGTCAGTATGCTCATCTAAAGCATTATCCATAGCTCATATCTCTTATTGTTGTTTAGTTAAAAGACCAACCAAAACGTTGATACTACCATATCTTTGCACTGACTTCCTTCTTAGGAATGCAGAAGCAGTATAACTGTGCAAACTTTGGAGAGCAAGGGATCTCCGTCGGATGCTATGATGTGTATCGGCATGATATTGATTGCCAGTGGATTGACGTTACTGATCTTAAACAAGGAGACTACATCTTCCGGGTAAGCTATGATTCCGCCCGTGAACGGTAACCCTAGGCCAGGGGTCAGCAACCATAAACACTCAAAGAGCCAGAAAGGTCCTAATAGGAAGCCCCATTCAATTCTGGAGCCAACTGGAAGTCTGGTTCTCCCACCATAGAGTCTCCTCCTAGCACGGCATCCTTTTTCCTCTGCTGACCAGAAGTCTGGTTCTCCCACCATAGAGTCTTCTCCTAGCGTGGCGTCCTTTTTCCTCTACCTGTCCTAATCGAAAGCCCTATCAATTGTGGAGCGGACCTGCAAAAGGGAGCCACAGCAGAAGGATGAAAGAGCCACATGTGGCTCCAGAGCCGCAGGTTGCCGACCCCTGCCCTAGGCCATGTTTGCAGGATATAAGTAACCCAGCCTCTCTCTTTGCCAGCCAGTTGACTACAAGTAGTCCTCGACTTACAACAGTTCATTTCATGACCGTTCACATTTACAGCAGCACTGAAAAAAAGTGACATATGGTCATTTTTCACAGTTGCAGCACTGTCATGATCGTGCAATCAAAATTCAGGCAACTGATTCATACTTTTGACGGTTGCAGCATCCCGGAGTCACATGGTCCCCTTTTGCAACTTTCTGACAAGCAAAGTCAATGAGGAAGCCAGATTTCAGAGCCATGGTGGTGCAGTGGTGAGAGTACAGTATTGCAGGCTACTTCTGCTGCCTGCCAGTTGCCTGCAGTTTGGCAGTTCGAATCTCACCAGGCTCAAGGTTGATTCAGCCTTCCATCCTTCTGAGGTGGGTAAAAGGAGGACCCAGATTGTTGAGGGCAAGAGGCTGACTCTAAACCACTTAGAGAGGGCTGTAAAAGCATTGTATATAACTCTAAGTGCTGTTGCTATTCACTTAACATCTGGATTACTAATCAGCTGCAGTGATTCACTTAACAACTACAGCAAGAAAGGTAGCAAAATGGGGCAAAACTCACTTAACAGAAATTTTGGGCTGAACTGTGGTTGTAAATTGAGGCCTACCTGTACCTTAATATGCTTGGAAGTATATCCTCAGAATAACAGGGCCTGTCCTGTGTCAGTCACATTGATTTGCCTCCTAGCCAGTGGTGGGATTCACTTACCTTTGCTACCAGCTCACAAATGTGAGCAGAAGGTCGCGCATTATGTTGAGGCAGGTGAGCAGAGTCTCCAGCCGCCGCCGCTGCTACCTGTTTGCCTGAACCTGTAAGAACCAGCAGAATACGCTCCAGAGTTATGCTGGAATACACACACACACACACACACACACAGTATTTGTTTCCAGAGGATATCTGTGTACCAAGTTTGGTTCAAATTGCTTGAGGCACTCCAGAGTTATGCTGCAACATATATACAGTACATACCTACGGCCTTTTTAATATAGATATTATTATATACTTTATTCATTAAACATGAAACTCAGCCAACTGAACATTCAAAAATGCATTGCAAATACCAGTGACTGGTGCTAATAGTTGATACGGCTTGCTGACAGCATCCTAGGTATCAACCAAGTACTTTCTTAAAATATAAGACGTTCCGAGTAGCATAGTTTTTTGCAGTTCCGCTGGTGTTATTGCAGGAAGCTGCAATTTGTGGGTGCATCTTGTAAAATTCTTGGACAATGACAATGGGTATCACTGTTACATGCTTCATCCATAGCCGTGTAGTTTCGATGGCCAGGTCACGATATTTCATTTTTTCTAGTTCTTTTTCTTCAACTCTGGCATCTCCAGGAACAGTGATATCAATACACTGTACACTTTGGCCCTCTACAACTGTGATATCTGGTGTGTTGTGCCCCAAATGACGATCCGTTTGTATTCGAAAGTCCCACAAGATCTTCACCTTCTCATTGTTATTATTATCTCATGTTGTTGTTGTTGTTAAGATTATTATTATTAAGATTATTATGAAAGGCAAAAATAAAGGTGAGAACCACTGTCTTGGGCTATTTTAGCTCCAGTAAATACAATGACTGCATCAGCTTGTGCTAGAAAATTGTTTGCTAGCGATAGGTAATCGAAGTCTCCCCTTTTCAGGTGTGAGGTGTAAAAAGAGATGCGGCTTCAACTGCATGATCAAAGTAACTTTTCTTACACACACCAAATCACCATTATACGTATCTCCGATTAGATCACACTAACAGTCCTGTTATCTTTACCCAGATCATTGTTAATCCCAACTTTGAAGTGGCAGAGTCTGATTACTCCAACAACGTTATGCTTTGTAAAGTCAGGTACGGGTCACTACGTGTGTGGGTGTTTAACTGCCATATAGGTAAGTTTGGCTTTTACTTTACTTTTATTCTTTTTAAACAAGTACTTGCAGAGATAAGCTTTGCATCCATGAAATAATTCTCAGCTCTTCAAGATCAGGAAACAGACCATAGTAACGCTATCAAAACTCTACAGTTGTCGGATCTTGAAAGCCTGACAAACTTTCTCCTCCCTTTCTTTCACTCTCTGTGTGAATGTGTGTCTTTCTGTGTGTCTCTGTGTGTGTGTCTCTCTCTCTGCGTGTCTCTCTCTCTCTCTCTTCCTGTTTCTGGTATATCCGTCTCTCAGTTTGTGTACCTCTTTTTCTCTCTCTCTGCGTCTCTCTCTCGCTCTCTCTCTGTCTGTGTGTGTGTGTGTATGTGTGTGTGTGTTTATCTGCTTCTCAGTGTGTGTTTCTTTTCTCTCTCTCTCTTTCTCTCTCTCTGTCTCTCTCTGTCTCTCTCTCTTTGCCTCTGTCTCTCTCTCTGAGTGTCTCTCTCTCTTTCTGTATGTGGTATATCCATCTCTCAGTTTGTGTGCCTCTTTTTCTCTCTCTCTGCATCTCTCTCTCTGTTTCTCCATGTTTATCTGCTTCTCAGTGTCTCTGTGTGTGTGTGTGTCTATCTCTCTCTCTCTGTCTCTGTCTCTCTGTTTCTCCATGTTTATCTGCTTCTCAGTGTCTCTCTCTCTCTCTGTCTCTCTCTGTCTATCTTTGTCTCTGTCTCTCTTGTACTGAAGAGAATCAANGAACAATTAATCAGTGGAACAGCTTGCCTCCAGAAGTTTTGAATGCCCCAACACTGGAAGACTTTAAGAAGATGCTGGATAACCATTTGTCTGAAGTGGTGTAGGGTTTCCTGCCTAAGCAGGGGGTTGGACTAGAAGACCTCCAAGGTCCCTTCCAACTGTTATTCTATTCTATTCTATTCTATTGTGAAACCTCTGATCCTGGTGATCAATCCAGACTGCATCCTGCAATATCAATTCATCCACTTCATCTAAGCTAGGGGTATCAAACTCAAAGACCGTGGCCTGGATCTGGTCCGTGAGGTGCTTAGTTCTGGCCCATGGGACTGCCCTAAAAACAGAAAAGGACCGAACCGCAGTGCCACTGCCAGCAATAATGTAGCTCGGAGGGCTGCATCCCCACCCCCAGGGTCAGTTTTAGCTGGCAGAGGGCTGCAGGCTGAAAATGGAGTGGGGGGGGACATGCCCCCCCCCCCCGGTCAGTTTTCGCTGGCAGAGGGCTAGCAAAAGAAACTAAAAGCAAAACAAAAAAGAGTAATGTTTTCCCTTTTGCATCTGAGCATCCAAGAAGGGACAGGAAAGGAGAAAGGGAAAGAGGAAAGACAAAGAAAAAGATGGGAAGAGGGCAAGGAAGGAAAGATAAGGAAAAAGGGGAAGGAAGAAGAAAGGAGAATGAAGAGGGAAGGAAAAAAAAAAGGAAGGAAGGTAGATTATAACGAGGGACGGAGAGTCTGAGGAAAGTCCTGCCAGCACTTCAACATCACAGGAGTGATGTTGAACTGGCCGCATACAACCTGACCACACACACACACCCTGCACTTCGAGATCAAACACAACCCTGATGCGGCCCTCAATGAAATCAAGTTTGACATGCTTGATCTAAGCCATTGCATAGTTTACAGGAGGGAAATGGCTAGAGGGCACTAACTACATTTCAGTCCTCCCTTTTTTTTTGTTGCTTTTCCTACCACCTGGGGCAGTAATAGTGAACCTTTTCTGCAATGAATGCTAAAAAGGGAGCACGCATGCACGCAGCACCAAGTGCTTAAAAACTGAGCACGTGAACGTGTCTGGGCCACAATCAGGGAAAAGGAGTTGCCCAGGGGGCATGTGCCCCCCGCAAAACCTACTTCCGCTGATCAGCTGGCCCGGCACACATGCTCATGCCAGAAAATGGAAGACCAGCTCATCTGGTTTCCGGCACTGCTGCACACACAAAGATCAGCTGATTGGTACACTTGCATGCGCTCCCGAAACCCAGAAGAGGAACGGCCAATGCCATGCGTGCCAGGTGAAAGGGCTCCGTGTGCCACTTTGGGCAGGCGTGCCATAGGTTGAGCATCAAGGGCCTAGGACTGTGCAGCACTTTCAGTCCCAAGAACTTGCTTTCAGAGGGCACCGAGAAGCTAAAGTTGCCCGCTTCTAGAACTTTCGCCATCCTCCTGAAGTCAAGCGGGAGCTGCAGGAACCGTCCCAAGTCCCTGGGAAAAAGGACCTCCGCTTGAAGGAGCTGCATCCTAAGCCTGCTTACTCTGAAGGATCTCTTGGGAATCCAAAACTCGAATCCGCAAGAATCCCAACGTGCCGTTTCTCAAATGTATTTGGAAGCTGACACCGGGCAAGGCATCCACTGGCTTCTTCAGTGGGTTATGAAACCCGAGCGATTGATTCGACCAATTGATCAAAAGCTACGGTATGTTCTTCCCGGCCAAAGAATTTCCCTGTCTCCAGCTTGTAACCTGAGAGTAACCCGAGCTTTGAAAGGGACGGCGGGTTTGGGAGGACAGACAAAAGGCACGAGGAGGACAGGAGAACGTTTGATGCCAGTTGAAAGAATTTTAATTCTGTCTCTCGACGGCAATGAGATGCTGAGTTTTTCCAGCCAACTTTTGCAGAGCGGTTTTAAAAACAGGTTTTTGAAAACTAATCGGCCCTATTGCTTCCATGCCAACAAAGGTGTTCAATCAAGGTGTTTCTGTCAATCCTTTGGGTTGGCGGGCGAACTTCTCTTCTCTTAGGCTACAGCGCCCTCTTGTGGGGCCTTCCGGGATCAGCCTCCGTCCCATTCGTCAATTCCCACGGATTAACTTCCCATCCAGCGTGGGAATTTTCCAGTTCTAACACAACACACATAAAGTTGTGATTATTCCCCACCGGCCTAGCTCTACTTCAAAACAACAACAACAATAACACCAACACAATCAAAAAAAAAAAAGAACAGATGAGACCCGCCGTCATCACACGGTTGTATACATTGTTTTAATGCCACCCCAAGTCACTTCAAACCACTCTGGTTTTTAATCTGGCAGGTTGGTGGTTGCCGATTCCAATCCTTGGCAGCCGGAATTCTGCTGGTATTTGCGCTGTAATCCTAAGGCTCTGGTTACTAGTCGTCGGGCTACTGCTGTATCTGTCTGGGGTCTTTCTTTAGCCAGCTGAAGGAGCTCTGGGGAAGGGGGGAAAAAGAGAGAAAGATGGCAGAGAAGGAATAGAAGAATTGGAAAAGAAATTGGAGGAGCCGCTTTAGGAAGCCTGGCCTAAAGCCCTAAATCATTTTATTTAATCACGTAGATCAGATCTAATCTAAATGTAGAGGACTTTATAAATTATATCGTCACTTCCAGCTACATCAGTGGTTCCCAAACTTGGCAACTTTAAGACTTGTGGACTTCAACTCCCAGAATTCAGAGCTGGCTGGAGAATTCTGGGAGTTGAAGTCCACAAGTCTTAAAGTTGCCAAGTTTGGGAACCACTGAGCTAGATGAACAAGCTGAGTGAACTTTGGGTTCATATATTTCCCCCCATTCGGTTCTAAAGCAAATTAATCATATGCTTTTCANGGAAGGATACTGTAAAATCTCCATTCCCACCTCACTCCAGAGGAAGGATACTGTAAAATCTCCATTTCTTCCCCAGTCCAGGGGAAGGATACTGCAAAATCCTAATTCTCTCCCGATCAGCTGGTTCTCGGGAGGCAGGTAATAGATGGGGGGGGGGCAGTCAGAGGTAATATTTGCCGGTTCTCTGAACTACTCAAAATTTCTGCTACCAGTTCTCCAGAACTGGTCAGAACCTGCTGAATACTACTTCTGGTATGGTGGTGCTAAGCACGTTTGCCTCTGTTTGTTTGAGGTCAAACAATTACTCCAGAAAACCATTCCTACTTGAATATTTTTTGGTTTCTTATGTTTAAAGAAAATAGAGAGAGTTTGTGTACAGTACTTCCAAATGATTCTTTTAAAAAAAAACACCCCGCAAGGGTTCGATTTTGGGATCCTGTACAAAAGAGGCAACTGAAAAATCAAACTACATTTGCTGCAGGGGATCAGAGCACCAGCATTTTGCTTCTAAAATAATAATAATAATCAGAGATGTTTTTGGATGTTCAAAAAGGCAAAGGTGAAATTTATTGTTTCTTTTAAGCATCAGAGACTAAGGATAGTTTGTCTCTGACCATAGACGTTACTAGCTATTGCTGCATGAAGACTTTAAACCTACCATATTTGAACACTATAAGAGAGAAGGAATTCAATGTATCTAAAGCAGGGGTGTCAAACTCAAGGGCTGGGGCCCAGATCCAGCCCATGGGGTACTTACTGTATTTTTTGGAGTATAAGACGCACCTTTTCCCCCCTAAGGGGTTGAATATTTGGGTGTGTCTTATACACTGAATCTAGCCCACCTACCCACCATCCCCCACCCTTTGACCTCTGCCTCCCAGCAATTCCTCCGGGATTGGGCGGCCTATAAATCTAATAAATTGAATTGAATTGATAAAATTGAATTTACCGCCTCACCGCAAACGGGGAAAATGGGGCTTGCGGAGGCTGCAATAGGCTATAGCAATCCTTGCAGCCTGAAACAGCTGATGATCATGAGACAGGCTTAAATTGAAAGTGAAACTTGCTGTTTGTTTCACAAGGCAAATTGCTAAGAGGCAAAAGCAGATTTTTTTTCTTGTGCTAATCAGGCTGTTTGCTGTTTGCTGCAAGATGTCAATAACCATAAATGTCTATAGAATGTTCAATTTATTAGACTTATTTTTTTCAAGACTGCTTTATTATTGTTCTAGACAGCTTAACAAAANACTATCATGCCTTAATCCCATCACCCTGGAGCTGAAGGGGGAGATATTTATTATGTAGAAGCGTTTTAATGGCCCATTGAGAAAGATGGGGGCTCTTAAGAGTGAGTCTGTTTCCTACCTAAAAGCATGTTTCTCCATTTCTTATCCAGGTAAATATAATATTCTGCCTTTTCCCAGGATATTTCATTTTTCTAGGAGAGGGGTGGGTGCTAACTTCCTACAGTAGGTTGAGGAACACCTGTAGTTTTTCACCTTTTGCCCATAGCTATCCGAGTGGACTGTACTATTTGACTCTTCACTTTTTTTTCTCCTTCTCACAGCCAACTCTTACTATGAACCAGACCAGAAAGAAAACTTCAATGGACTTTGGAACAATCAGGTGTTTTAACTGTAGGCCCTCTGTTTAATATAAAGGAAGAAAAGAAAAAAAAGAAAAAAAGGAGGGGCTTTTCCCATGATTTCCCTAACCACTGCTCCGAAAACTGAAGTTACCAAGCAACCAACCATGAATGTTTCATGTTAGCTCTGTAAATTATTTTTGAAGGGTGTTACTACAAACCTACTTCGCAACGTTCAGCAGGAGGAGACCGCAGCGGCAGACTCAAAATTTCACACCATTCCAAGAGAAGGAAAGTTTTGCACTAGCTGTACGACTTTGCTTCCCCCCCACGTACGTCAACCCTGGCAAACTCTCACCGCCACCCTTTTGGTCCACCGCAGCGTCCGAAGAGGCACCTGACAGGCAACTCGCAAGGGGGTTTGTTGCTCAAGAGTTACCTTTTTGGAGGACTTCTCTTTCAGCCTTGGTCGTTTGTCTCGTGGACGTTCAAACATCGGACTCTATGCCACTGGTGGGAGGTGACCTTTCTTCAGCCTGCTGACATTACCAAGAACACGGGTGATATTTGATTTTTGTGGGGGGGGGGAGGTGAAACCATCGTAACTTCCATCTTGGTTTTTTAAAAAAACACGAGAATGTGAATTTCTTTTGAAACACATTAAACCAGAGGTGTCAAACTCAAGGCCCGCGGGGCGGATCTGGCTCAGTGGATGCTTAGATCTGGCCCGCAGTGGCCATCCCCCTGGGAACAGTGAAGGACCAGTCCACGTTGCCTCTGCCAGCAAAAATGGAGGTATGGAGGGCTGCGTGCTCCATTTTCGTTGGCAGAGTGCTCCGGCGACCATAGGCGCCCCCAACACAAGTGATGTCGAGCTGGCCACACCCATCCTGGCCATGCCCCACATAGCCCCCCAAAGTCAAACAACTCTGATGTGGCCCTCAATCAAATTGAATTTGACATCCCTGCAGTAAGCTGTTCACCTGCCCTGCCTTATCCATCTCTTTTCTGTCCATGCCACCAAAAGATATTTCCTTCCTGTCAATATTAAGTAATACATCAATTACACCAAGATTTTCCCACGATAGACCTCTTCCCCATTCATTAGAGCAAACCACCCTACGATATCTTGTAAGAATAAAAAAAATGAATGTCTTAGGACACATTTTACAGGAGAGTCCTTGAAGGGATTCCAAAAATCAAGGGGACAACTCCCAACCATTGTGATTGTAACCATCTTGACATTTTGATGACAACCCTTGCTTTAGTAAATGTATGGGGCAGTGGTGGGGTTCACATTTTTTTACTACCAGTTCTGTGGGTATGGCTTGGTGGGCGTGGCTAGGTAGGTTTGGCAGGGGAAGGATACTACAAAATCCCCATTCCCTCCCCACTCCAGGGAAATCTCCATTCCCACCCCACTCCAGGGGATGGTTACTGTAAAATCTCCATTCCCACCCCACTCCAGGGAAATCTCCATTCCCACCCCACTCCAGGGGATGGATACTGCAAAATGCCCATTCCCACTCAACTCCAGCGGAAGGATACTGCAAAAACTCCATTCCCACCCCACTCCAGGGGAAGGATACTGCAAAATGCCCATTCCCACTCAACTCCAGCGGAAGGATACTGCAAAAACTCCATTCCCACCCCACTCCAGGGGAAGGATACTG